GACCAAGTAATAATTTATAAATTATCGAGAGCTCATGGAGGAGGGTGGAGCGGGGAGGGAGGGGAAAATGAGGACCTAATGCTGGGGGCTTAAGTGGAGAGGAAATGTTTTGAGAAAGATGATGGCGATGAATGTACAAATGCGTCTTGCACAATTGATGTATGTATGGATTGTGATAGGAGTTGTATGAGCCCCTAATAAAATGATTTTTTAAAAATACCTAAAGAAAATTATCAAGGCAAGATTCATTTAGTCAGCAAGTTTCTACAACAGATTAACTAAATGGTTTAGACATAATATATAAAAGATTACAACTACAAAATTTCCAGCAACGTTTTAAAAACTGTGAGTTAATACATATATCATCATTCCACAGATCAATCACGTCAAGTAGAATTGTATAATTTGCTACCACATTCTGTTTCCAACAGTTTTATTCCTGGACTCCTTGACACCTTTTGAATCAGACTTGTTTTTTAATCTTAAAAGCAAAAAAGTTGTTTCAAAAAGTGTGCACTTTCTTTTCATTAAAAAAAAACATTTTAAAAGAATTTTTAATCACTTAATCGTTCAACTCTTATCACAATCCATTGTGTCAAGCACATTTGTATATTTGTTGCCATCCTCCTCAAAACATTTGTTTTCTACTTGAAAGCCCTTGGTATCAGCTCCTCCTTTTATCCCCTCCCTTCCTACCCACCTCCCTCACGAACCCTTGATAATTTATAAATTACCTTGTCATGTCTTATACTGTCTGACATCTCCCTTCACCTACTTTTCTGTTGTCCGTCCCCCAGGGAGGGGGTTATATGGAGATCCTTGTGATCAGTTCCCCCTTTCTACCCCACCTTCCCGGTGAGATGTGTGCATTTTCATATATCTCAATTCTCACCTGATTGACCTGTAACCTCGGACCAAGATTTGTGTATATCTCTTTAAGGAGATCTATTGCTCTGCTAGCAATGTCATCATTACTCTGAATCACGACCTAGATTCAAAAAGATTAAAATGTTAGCATCTTTAAAGAAATACTTTTATTGCCATTCAAATTGAAACCATATCCTTAGCTATTTTTAAGAGTAGTGAATAATAAGTTATCTTTTAGAACTAAATTAAGAGAACAGGGCCCAAAAAGAGAAATTGTTGACTAAAACTATTTAGGAATAAAACATACTTTGACCAGTATAATTTAATCCTGCAATTGAACATCTTACTAATAAAGGTGTGTAGCATTCAAGGATGATCTCAAATTCTCACTCGCTGTTACCAAGTCAATGGTGACTCAAAGCAAACCTGTAAGTTTCAAAGACTATACATATCACATTAGTTAAAAGAAAATAAGACACTAGAGAAATAAAGCAAAGTTTACCACAGATTATCTCTCTCCATTTCTAATATCTTAATCACTTATCTAATTAACTCAGTGGTTTACAATAGGAGAGCTTCAAAAAGCTCATGAAAACTTTTCTATTAACTTTGTAAAAATTTTAAACTTTTAATTGTGAATCGGGTAAAGTTTCACAGAGCAGCAGTGGCCCCCGAGCTGTACATTCAACAAATCATACATAATTTGCTTCCTTTCAATCGCTGCAATCTGTCCAATTCATTACCACTCATCCCACTTTCACCCTTGTGTTTCTATCTCCACTCTTTTAAATTTCATTTTTCAAATACTTTTTTGACACTCCTCATAATTTATAAAGGTGGAAAGTGTAGTCTTAGTAGAACATAATTATTTTACTCCCCTTGCAATTTAAACCAGTGATACGGAAAGTGTATGTGCATAATCCTTTCTAAACAAAATCTTCTCTTTTGGTCCCATTTTAAATTTACATTGACAAAGAGGAAAAGGAAACTCAATGAATGAAAATGGTGTCTTTTGGGGGGCGGCGGCCACAGGACAATGACATTTCAAGACAACAGAGACAGAGGCAGAGGGTGGGAGAAATAGAGGGAAAGTATGTACAGATTGGCAAATCACAGAAACAGATAGTGGACAAGTACTTGTTAGGCTAGAAACCACCATCATCAAATGAAAATGATTCTTTTCCCATTTAAAAAAAATGCATAAGTACTGGATTTATATATATATATTCCTCCCCAACCCCGCTTACCCTCCAAAGGTAGTCTAAGCCTATTAACTCCAAATCATCCATCATATAGGCTCTTCTTTTTGCTACAAGTTTTCCTTCCCGACAATTCACAGCTTTGAAGAATCGCTCAAAACATTTCATCCCGTTTTCAGTTAATAAGGAGGGATCTAGCTGAAGCACATTACTTTCAAAGAAGTCCTTGTTAATATCAGGATCTAAGTCTGGTTCATCCCCCATCAACTTGGAATACCACTTAAAGCAAGCTTCTCGATCACAAAGGTAAACTGCATTCTCTGCTAAGCACTTCCATATTTGTTTTGCTTGAGGAGCACAGAGCCAGAGCTGGCCATCCTTCAATAAAAATCTAAGAAAAACAAGAACAATTAACCATTAGGTTGGGCATAGTTTTTTTTTTCCTAAATATTTTTAGTAGGTGCTCTTATAACTCTTATATACATTCCATACATCAATTGTATCAAGCATATTTGAACAATGTTGCCATCATCATTTTATAAACATTTACTTTCTATTTGAGCCCTTGGTATCAGCTCCTCTTTTAGAAAAATCTTTAATGTTAAGTCAGTTGAGAATAACAAGAGCAATCTACTTGGCTATGTATAAAACATGTATCTCACAATGTATTAAGGGCATTTTTCAGAAGAACTTTCAAAAGAACTTTTTTCTTAACTTTTATCTGGCACTAAAAAAAATCCTGATTTTAAATGTACTCCTTTAACAAACTTTTATCAGGAACCCAAGTCAAAATAAAAACAAAGAATTCACTGCCATCGAGTTGATTCCGACTCACAGGGACCCTATAGAACAGGGCAGAACTGCCCCTGTGCATTTATAAGACTGTCACTCTTCAAGGGATTAGAAAGCCTTATCTTTCCGGGGAACAGCTTGTGGTTTCAAACTGCTGACTTTGCTGTTAGCAGCCCAACATGTAATCGCTAAGTCACCAGAGCTCCTTAGGTACCTTAATATGTGCTAGAAATACTGCTAAGTAATTGGATCTAAATGTAAATACAAGGTTAGGTTTTTGAACCCAACATTTAGTCTGAATTTAACCTTACGAAGGGTATTTTAATGGGCCATTTGTGCTAAAAAGTAAAGAATTAGCATGCTGTTTGTATGTCATCATTAGAGAATGTAATACATTCACTCCACATTTATTTACAGGTTTAGGTTCTAAAGACCAGATTGTTCTGTGAAAACTTAAGAAAATAGAGAATGACCACATCAAATCAAATGGAGGGTGAGTATATCATTATGTAACTGTCATGTGATGGAATGGAAATAAACTTCTTTTCCTTCCTTATTCTTATCAGAAGTAATGCTATTGACATAGGACTTTAGATGGCCTTTATCAGCCATTATTAGAATAAAGCAGTAGAGGACTCAAATTCCTTTGATAGAATGCTGGTTTAGCAGCCAACTGTCCTTCCTTCCTTAAAGCCATGCCAAAAATAATGCCATCATGGGCTTCCAGCTGATTAGGGCCCAATATAAACAAAAATTAATAAACATTTTTAGAGTAAATAACTATAAAGAAAATTCTAAGGTTTAATACATGCGCTCCACAAAGATTACAAATTGAAATCTATCTAATAACAAAGAATTTAATCATGAATACATGGGAAAATGTTTGATTTTTAGACTGTGGTAGAAAACATTCAACTTCAAGGAGACCACCTAAAATAGACCTATACAAAATATGAACTTTGCATTCCTTTATCTGTGTCATAAAGAGAATAATTGTTAAAACATACCTAAGGAAGTTAAGTCGTTCTTGGACTTCTTGAACATGACTATATCTACTTCCCAGCCTAACAGTTTGTGGGTCATAGTCTTCATGGTCTACAAATTAAAAAAACAGAAAAATCACGACTTCTATGTAAATACCCTCATCATTACTGCCTATAAAACAATTAAATTAAGTAATTTATTAAGGAAGCAACTGAAATCTAACCAATCTTGGGTTCTTTTCGACTCAAATATAAATGTTCTTTTTCAGCTTTTAAACACCTGACTGAACACTGGATTTCATCTGTCTTTTTGTTTTCAAAGCTTACTTTATCTGAATTACTTCAAATTGTGTTATTTCATGTTGAGGATATACTTGCATATGTAACTACAGTACTGTTAATCAAACATGGTCACAATATTATCATCTAGCCCAGGATTTCTCAGCAGACCATTGACATTTTGAGTCAGGTAATTCTTTTGCTGTGGAACTCTTATCTTGTGCATTGAAGTATGTCAATATCCCAGGACTCAGTAATTAGATGCCAGAAGAACATCTCCCTCAAGCCCTCAAAATCAACCATAATGCCTAACAATATGTGGAGAATTTCTGATTTAATCCACAGTCTAAACAAACAAGTTTAACCAATTTTTTTATTGTGGCCATTTTTACATCCTTTTCTTCACGTCCATGACAAAAAAAGTGTTACATTTAGGACTTTAGTCATCTTAAATCTGTAGAACTCATTTTATTTCCTGCCCCTTTTGGCAACTATAAACTAATTTTGTTGTTGAATTTCCCTCAAATTGGGTGCCTTGAATGACTAATGATTTGATTCAGGTTATGCATTTCAGCAAGATTACTACAAAAGTGAAGACATATTCTACTAAGGGCGTTTATATCAGGAGGCACCGTTACTGTCAGATTTTGATATTCATGATATAACTTTTAATCCTTTGGTGAAGGTAGTTTCCGGCAGGTTCCTCCATTGCCAAATTACTTCTATCTTCATACTTGTCATTTATAGGTAAACATGCTGCTTCTTATCCAACCTATAACCACGGATTTTAGTATTATCTCTGCCCGACCATTTTCTGATTTTGCTGACTTTATTGCTGTAGCCTCTGAAATGGTGGCTCAAAATATTTTTCCCTTTTCTTTATGCCTGGTTACCTAGGAGTCAGGTTACTGGGTCAAAGGCTGTGCTTAGGGCCAGTTGGCAACCAAAGATTTGCTCTTTGTGTGCGGCTTAAGGCAGCTATCTATCACAGTTTAAAGAGTTGTTTTTACCTAGAGTAATAGCTTTTGTATTTTATCTTCAATCCCAACCAAGAGTTCAGTCTTGGGCATGCAGAGAAGTGTACGGTGTTATAGAACTGTGCGATTTTATAGAACTAGGAGTTTCCAGGCATCAGGGTTAAACACACTGTTCGACTTACTGCTTAAGTCCTTAGTACCCATGAAACCTCCACCTTTTGTCATGGAATCTGTATAAACCTGCCAAACAACCTGTTCTCATTGCTTCAGAGTTGGATGCACCCTTGCCAATCCATACAGCCTTCCATAACCCCAGGGTCGTGATCCCAGGACTTTTGGCTGCCTCTTTATCCAGAGCTCTAATAAATTTCTAGTTGTGGCACGGTTTCAGTTGCTGGTGCTGGTACTCCATAATTTTGTCAGAATGCCCTTCCTAGCATGGGAGCTCCACCCTATGAGCAAGTAGGGGGGAGAGGTAGCTGGAGCTCCAGCATTACTTGGTCTAGTAGTGCCAGGTCATTGCCCTACACCAGGGGATGCATGAGGTACGGGAATGTTATTCCTTTTAGCTGACAACACCACAATCGTGGACTAGCAGCTATGATGGGAGGGAGCCTTTCATGGCTGCACCTGCCCAGAGTACTTTCCATTTAACAGGGCTAAGAACCGGCTAAGAACCAGAAGAAGAGAGCAGGTGGTGGCTCAAATGCTTAACTTTCATGGTTGATTTTCTAAATAAACGTTTCTCCAATAAAGGTTATTCAGTACTTTTGTTTTGTAACAAATGTATCACATTATATTTCCAGATACGTGAAATAACAATGTTTTTAATGATTTTTTTCCTCTGTTAAGATGACTGGTAGACAAATGGCTGTTTTGCTGTGGAAAGTTACTGCCAAGTATCTTAGTCTACCATTCCCAAAGCTCAAAACTCCCATTCTTTTGGGGTTCAAGTCCCTTATGCCCCTACATTCCTGCTGAAAGGTTAATATGTTTTGGGCACCTCCATACTTTCAAGAGTCAATTCTTTAAGGTTATCCCTGCTCTAAGCTCTAAAGATCTATAAAGAAACCAAATAAAGTGGATAACAAATCAATCCTTTTTAATCACAACTCACACAAGAGTGTCAGCACTGCATAAATGATGTGTGGGAATGAGTCAGAGGTGCTGAGGAAGTCAAGCCCAGTTATCTTCATTCTAACAAAACTGCTTCTGAGGGATATTCGTGAAGAAACGATTTGTTGGTTTGTTTTTTTTTTTGGGGGGGGGATCCTACAATATGCCAGTGTTGGAATGTTAAGAGACCATGGAAACTTAGAAATGAGAACATGATAAACTGGTTTGTGATAAAGACAACTAATCCACCAACTGACCTAGAAAGCAGGGAAAAAGTATGTGAAAACTTTCAGCAAGCATTCTAAATCGGCATCACATTTACCCTTTCCAATGAACTTAAACTGAGTGTGAAAACTGGTTTCATTGTGGGCATGTTAAAAATTTTTAAGAAGCTTAAAGCATCAGTATATGGAGGCAGTACTAGTAGTGAGTGATACACAATAAGAGAAAGTTGGAGGATACATTCATTCCTCCACCTGAGTTAACTTTAAAGCAAGCAGTGAAATCAGCCAACCATGTTACTATGGAAATGTTTTCCCCAAAAGCTTAAGTTGCTAAGTGGAGATGAAATATAGGCAGGACAAATTCTCAATACTGGTGAAATGACTACAAGAAATTGAGAACATCAGTGAACTGTGGAAGACTAATGTTATCTCCTACAAAGCATTTTTCATTCTTAAAGGGATTCATGAAATACTTTTATTATAAAGAGGCAAAACTCACAAACTGCTTTAAGAATTCCAAATTCAGAAAAGGTAAATGTATTTCTAAAGAAGTAATCTAATGTTATGAAAAGCTTAATTCACTAAAAAATATTTACTAGCTTAAAAAAATTACTTCCCCCCCAAAACTAATAAACAGAATTAAAAGGCAAAATACAATGATCAGTAGTAATCAAAAGACTATCACGCTATTAGAGGAGGAAAAACTTATCAAGGCTGTTATGAAAAACGGAAGGTATTTAAGTCAATTAACTCAGGGGAATATTTAGTATCTTTTAATGCCATGAACTTTTTGAAGTCTCTCATATTAAAACCAAAATTCTAGTGCTCAACTATTGGCTGGGTCTGTTCAAGCATACAGAACTTCTCTAATGTCATATAGCTTGTTTGAGTCAAGTTCAAAAGCTAGACAATCTGCCTCTATAGATGTACGTTTTCTACTTTGTGGAGATACAAACAATTTAAGGAAGGGAATCTAAGATAGTCAGGTGACAATGAAATTCCTATGAAACAGTAATTCAAATAATCAAGACTAAACTGGAGAAGACTTTAGTGCGGGCTGAACTGTTTTGACCCGTTCACGCAGCATTCCCATATGCAAATGAAGTAAATGGAGTTAACATTAGACACATGTAATTAGAAAGCTCCATGGTGGGGAAAAGGTCTGCACTGACAATCAGGAGAATTTGTACCTCTGTGAAGAGATGCGATCATCACAAAGACTCTGAGCCATGCTAAATTAGGCCCAAATGCTTAGAACTCAGTATACTGTAAGCAAGCCTCTTGTTTCTCACACTAACTTTGGCTGCAGTTGATATAAAGCATAAATATATGGTTGTAAGTTTATAAAGGCTTGCCTAATACCACTTAAAACTGAAATGATCGTTGCCTGGTACCCGTTAGCACAGGAATGTTTACGTTGCTCTTCTGGTCCTACCCTCTATGTCACTAGCGTACTCTGATCTTCAAAAAATGAGTACTGTTAATATTCAGATTTTAAATATATACTATTGGCTTCTGTAGATGCAAACTGTTGAGTACTAAAATCCTACTCACTTTAACATATTAAATGGGTATAATTTACGGTTAACATTATGCTCAATTCTGTAATGCCAGAAATATACACCATTTTTAATCTATAATTTGGAAACAAAGGTAACCATATTTTGGTCTACCAATTTGACAAAAGACAGAGGAACAATGTGCACTCAAGTAACTAACATGAGTGCTGTAGCACACACAGACCCCGCGCTACATTGTCAGGGAGAGCACCACAGCACTAAAATGGCGGGCACTCACCCACATGGTCTGATGAAATCACAGGAACCACTAAGTCCCCCTAGAGGACTGAACAATTTCGAACTGAGAATCAATGAAAGCATCATCAGTCCTACAGTCTCTTCTACTTTCGCAAAATGTTTCTTCATACAGCACTTATGAAAGTGGACTTAAAAAATATACTATGTAAAAATCATCTCTAACAGCATTTCTAACAGATGATTTCTTACAACAGTGAGGTTTGAGTCAAGTTTTCTTGAGGGCAGGGGTGGGGACACCAACTAAAGGTGGTGGCCGTAAGGAAAAGAAAAGGTTCAAAATGAGTAGAGTATGTACCTTAGAAGGTTAACAGCCAATTGCAGGTCAGGCAAGTAGAGTTCCCAAACAAAGGGAGAGAAAAAGAGAAATTAGTTTAACATGGAGAACGGGGAAGGCAGGCACTTTTTTCAAAATGCTGGGCTAGAATTGGTGTTAAGATTGGCAGTAAAAATAGATTATAGGCTCATAAAGAAGTACAATTATTAAAATCAGTTACTTTACATCTTTGAAAATGTGTTGTCATTTCTAAGGTACTTAAACACAAACAAAAAATTGCTGGGAAGGGAAGTCCTTAATGCCCCAAACAATCTCAGCTTATAATACGTACCTCTAGCATAGAGTCTCATGCTTTCCATGTAAGTTGCAAGGTTTTCTGCTACCAAAGTAACCAGGGCATGATTGTGCTGGAGTTGATTAATTAAGTCATGGCGGTAAAATACATGAGGACTTCGCTGGGTTTGACTGAAACGAGAAGAACTTAACAATATAATTAGGTCATTAAACTTTCTTGCAATCAAAAATTAAACTAATAAAATCAGTTACTAAGTTTAAAAACTTTAAATGGTATAACTCGTAATAGAATTATAGTTTTGTACATTTTCTTTTAGGAAAATAAAGCAATTTAAAACAATTCCTAAAAAAACCTAATCACTTCTCCCCTTTTTATATGAAAACCATGGATTAGTATTTCCCATCCTCATCCATCTTAATGAAGTCTACCTTCAGTGTATGACTTCTACTGCTATCCTAGATTACTACCAAAGCACTCGCTAAGTTTTCATGATTTCAAAATTTATAAAAATAGAAATGCACACTTCAAGAATAGCATTACAATTGCTCTGCTGTGATTGTATTGAAGAATTTAATCAAAAGAAAATGCTTTATAGTAATATTGTACTTTAAATAGACATTCAAGGGGTATTTTGCAACACTGTGTTATATTGCCAATTTTGTTCCCAGGTGTCACTAAAAAGGCATCTAGTTATTTTCCAACCATTTGTTCCATCATCATGAACGTCAATCAACTATCAAAACCAGTACTATTATAGTGGAGAAGCCGCCACTGGTTGGATGGGAGAGTATGTAAATTACTATCTGTAACAGACAAATGGAGTCATTTGAGAAGGGACTACAGGGGTGTGGGTGTATACACACACACATACACAGTGAGTCAATAGTTTAAAAAAAAAAAGTATTCCTCAAATAAATGTCAATGTCATCATGTACGTCTGTACTTCTTTTTCCCCTGGGCAGTTTCCAAAATTTTTTTGCTGGCATTGGGAAAAATTATGTAAAAGAATTTCAAAATATTTGTGGAAAATGTCAATATCCTTTCATTCCATTTTTCACGAACTTTTGGAAATTCTCTCATAGGATGTTTATTTGCATGTAACATAAAACGTATACATATCCCTTTCTTCTGTTTTAGGCATAAACAGAGTCAAGCAATCATCTAATATTACACTTAAACAAAAGAAGTTTCTAAAAGACTAGAAAACAGATCATGACTGCTTAGATATAAGGTTTACCTCTAGGCCTCCTAGCTCCAAGGTGAATATTCTGTGCACTACAACTAGTTCTCTTTGCAGTTCCTTTTCACGTAATTACCAGAAAACACGAGGGCAAATTATTCCAATGACCAGAATTTGGCATTTTTAAGATAGTATACTTAGGCAGTTATTTAACAGAAACTTAGCTAAAATAAATCCGGAAAAGAAAAAAAAACATTTTATAAGAAGTACTTTTATACTGTGGGATAAAGGGTGGATACTGGGCAAAGGGAAATAAAGGCAGGAAGGATCAAGGGAAATGAGTAGTGAGATTAATAAACACAACGCATGCCGTGAAATTGCTTGGCATACTTGCTGGTAATACGAGAGAATTCCGAACTAAGAATGTGAAGGCAGTTATTATCATCGCGATTATGATACTTATCAGTGGCTTGCTCCTTCATCAACAAAATAGAGAAGGTAGATATGATGAAGGGTGTCATTTGTTCCAAACTAAGTCTTCTTTTAGCCTCCAGTTAACTCACTGAGTTTCTTTGAAATTTGCTCTTCCCAACTGATATGCTTTTGCTTTTCAATATAATACATACATTAAAATACTGAAATTCTCTCTCTATGTTAAAAGCCTTACCTCAAGTTTTGAGGTGCTTCACCAAACAAACTACAAATTTCTCTAATTTGTTTCAGTGCGGGGATTACCCATTTGTCATTTGTGCGAAGTTCTTCTATAAAGCGATCTATCCACTGGATCTTTTGTGTGTCACGGTCCTTAAACAAACAATTTCAATGTTTTATATAGATCAATACTCAGGAAGTCTACCTTCAAATAATTTTGAGAATAAAAAAACAAAAGCTTTTCTTGTAAGATTAGCACCAAATGATTATCTTGTAATTGTAGCAGAGTCTAATATAAAAAAGAAATCTAATTATATTTTTATTTTACATTTACTATCAACTCCAAAGAGTAAAGCACTCTTGTAAAAAAGCTCAGTAGTACATGGACTCATATACATCCACACAAAGGTACAGTTCCTTAACTATTAATATTGTACATTGACAGAAATTTTGAGTTTTAAAAATGTTTGCTAGAAGGTGGGGATTTAGCTTTATCCAATGTTTAAGGGGCTTCTACCAAACCACAAAGTTTAGCAATAGCATAAGTGTTATGCTGTGAGCTTGCTTTTTGCATATTTTTCTAAGCACGGTGAAGAACACTGACAATTTATATTTCTCCCCCAAAATAACAGTATGACAATTATGCAAGTTAAAAACAAAAGAAAAACCCCACCAAAAAACATCCACATACACAAAAGGAGAGAAAAGGATACAGACGGGCACAATAGGTACAAATTAATAATGTCACACTAATTTTTAAAAATATTCTGCTCTTTATACATTACTTTTCCCTTTAAATTAGTACCACCAGCAGCACTGGTTTGAGTATCAAGGACATTGCTAAGTTTGGATTTTGTGTGTGTGTGTATTGGGGAAGGAAAACAATTACATGTGCGTATGTACATAAATGCATGAGGGGGCTTCATAAAAGACATGGATAAAAATTACCATCCCCTCAAAAAAAGATGAGAGGAAACTGCAACTTTGGCACAAACTTCATGAAACCACTGTGCCACCCCTGCGCACTGACCCACATGTGAGAGAGAAACCTATGTGTGTGTCCTCAACTCCTAAATTTGGGCATATTTTTGCATTACATTTACATTTCTACTTTTGACAAGATTAAGATTCATACTCCTAAGTATTTTGCATTAAAACCTTTGTTATCAACAGTGCAGTTTTCTACATTGAGAGCCATCTTTTTAGTGACTGCTTAATCCATTGATAATTATTCAGAAGGTTTCTTGTCTACAAACCCATGTGTGCATCCCTTTGTGTCATTTTCTAGTTAATTCTCAGAAGAAATTTCTGTAAATGGAATTCTGAGTTCAACAGTACACATACTTACAAAGGTTTTTAAATACTTATATTTGACCAGATATATCATGCTCTTGATTTTTGTTTTGAGAGAGGAATTGGATAGTGATGTTTAAAACATTTCTTTCCCAGATAGACCATGAAGACTGAACAAGGCAACAGTGTATTAAGGTTCATTAACTCCAGTTACTACAGATGGGTGAATGTGGACAACACTGCCAGTCCGTGATACTAACAGCAAATTAGAGGAGCAGCTACTAGTTAAACCTTTAAAAGCAAATGTACTACACTTTGCTTCATTTTTTCCAGAGGGTTTCTTGTTTTAGTAAAATAAATCTAAACTCAAGGTTCTATTTATGAGTAGATACACTGGCACTGAGTGAAACGACCATCACAAGCAGGTACAGAAAAAAAACAACTGTCATCTGAATCAGTGAAACTAACTTTATCAGGGCAGTAAATACTTTTATTAGTAAGTAGGACATTAATTATTCAGGCATGTTCACTAAGTAAGCTAAAGAGCAACACAATGGCAAGAGTTAGAATGTATGGACATTGTGTGGTTTAACCATAGGGAAGGCACATAATATTTTATTGCTTAAGAAATCCCATGAATTTTTCTTAACTGGCTAGTTTAATTTCCCTTGTAAAAATACCTCATGCATTTTAATATTTTATGTTTGAAATGGGAATTTCAGCACCATGTACTTGAAATACTATTAATACAAAGTAATCTGTTTTGAAGACTTGTATTGGCCCGTGGAAAATAAATTCCTTTACACATAACACACAAAACCTTACTGTAAAGACCTAAGAAAAGGCAGGAAGCCTAATTTGAAGAAATATAAGCCAATTTGGGAGATCACTTCAAAAAGAACAATGGTAAAACAAAGCCATCCTAAATGTGGAGAGAGGTTACATAAAAGTGAGCCAAGGAACCTAACCTTACCTGGGAGCAACTATAATCTAGTATTTTTATGTGGGCACTGAGTGCCAGATCCATAATGTCTACAGGCACATCATCGCTGTGGGCCAGATTCCACAACAGGTTCAACACTTTATGTGCCATTACACCATCTTTGTCATCTTCTGCCAGGCGACGGATCAGCTCGAGCAGCTTTTCCCGTTGTTTTTTACTTGCATTTGTCCAACTAGCCTAGGGAAAAAAGGTTACACGGCATGAAAATAACGAGTATTTGGTTGTCATTGGATTAACGACATTTCAGTCACCGAAATAACACAGCTGAACAAAATATTTTTCAAGTGACAGCTGATAGAAAGTAGTACTCAGAGGCAGATTTCAATATCAAGAAAATAAATCCTCTGTTTACAGTTAAATATCAACAACCATGGCACTGTTGACATTTGGGCTTGGAAAATTCTTTGCTTGGTGAGTTGTTCTGTGCATTGTGAGATCCTTAGCAGCAAGCCTGGCTTCTGTCCACTAGATGTCAGTGCCACACTCCTTAGAACTGATAACCAAAACTGTCTCTTGGTCAAATAAAACAGCTCTGGATGAAAGTCAGTTTTAGATTCAGTTTGTTACTTGGGACTTCTAAATTGTATTACAAAAACCAACAACTCACCTCATAAAGTTGAATTTCTCAACTTGAAGGTTCAGTGTTTCATGGGACAAATCGATTGTCATAATGTCATTTATAAAGTGTATGCTCTACATCTCAAAGAGGTGAATACTATCTGGGGTCTTAAAAGCTTGTGAGCAGAAAGAACAAAAGAGGACAGATAAAACCAATGATTCAGAATAGTACATAGAACTAGTAATAAACATGAATCATGGCCTGACACACCCTGAGATCAGGTTATTTAGATGGTGCCCAGCTACCTGCTTAGGGCCCCAATAGATGGATACTGAAAGAATGAGAGAAAACTGTGACACAGAACTCAAAATCTTAAAATATTCAGACTAATTGAATTGGTCTAGTTGAAATGAAAGGATGACCAAGGTTATTACTGGTGTAATGTTTAAGGGTTGGGCTTTGATCTACATGGTTGGCGGTTTAAAACCACCAGCAGCTCCGCAGTAGAGAGGACTGGGCTTTCTACTCCCATAGTTAGTCTTAGAAAGCCACAGGGGATCTCTAAGTCATCAATGACTTGGTGGCAGAGATAAATTCCTTTGAGATCAATAACCTTTTAGAGCTAAGTAACAGATTAACTTATAAAAACTAAAAACAACACATATGTGTGCGTAATGAATTCCTTTAAAAATTCATCCCTGTGAGAGTTAATGGTCAGTAATCTATCTACACAACAGATTCCTAAACTTCTGTTACCTTTTCAGAAAAACAATTTACTCAGTGGCCTCTGGCAATTAAAACTTTTGTACTTATAGCATCTGGGGTCTTAAAAGCTTGAAGGTAAACAAGCGGCCATCTAGCTCTGAAGCAACAAAGCCCACATGGAACAACATATCAACCTGTGTGATCA